CTTTAAAAAAGCATTTGACCTGGTAGACAATGACATCTTATTTCGTAAATTGGCAGTGATGGGTTTTTTTAACTGACCTGCCCAATATCATTCAAAGTTCCAATTGTTTATTATTTGCAGACGACCTCAAATTAGGTCTTGGTATAGATAACCTATCTGACTGTGAAGCATTGCAAAGACAGCGATGGTGAATTGTAGTGTAGTGAATAGTCGCCCATTTAATATAAAAAATCCTCACATTCACACGTGAGCGCTGTTCACTAAATGTACATAATAATTTATCTGACAATCCCTTAGAGAGGGTGAGCAAAATTCGTGACTTAGGCTTAGTATTGGACTCGAGACTCGACTTTCACAAATATGTGGACACTATAACTAATAAATTTAGAAAATCAAAAAACCCGACTGTTTGTTACACTTCAAATAAAAACTGAAAAGAAAAAACCAACTATAATTCTGAATCAGACTTCGGTTTTACTTCAATCAATTTACGAAGGTCTTCATTTAGAAACTATAGTCTATAGTAGTTTCAATGCAGTTTGTTTGAAAAATTCATTGAATCTGTTAAATGTTCAGAATTTATGGTTCCCTATTTTTTAGGATGCAAGGACTAGGGAAGTAAGAACTAGTACTTCTACCTTATCTCCGGCGCTGCAGGAATAGCATAGCCCCTCCGCCTTTGCGTGACAAAGTCACAAGCATCACTACCCTTCACACCTTCGGCTTGTTGGTCGCCACCACCGGCGGCCGGCCTCAGGCACTACGGGTCGCACGATTCTTGCGACTTTGTCACAGCAGGCGGGAGCTGCTCTCCCTCCGCGCCTCCGGTCTCTAAAAAACAGTCTAGGGGTAGGGCAGACCAAGACCACGGCGTGTCGGGGTTGACCAAGTCGGTTCTGAATTAAAGACTGTTTGTTGTAAAGCCACATTTAATTTTTTTTCTAAGTGTTGAGCCCATACTATTTTTTATTTACCAAAATCTCAAAACAAACACAAAATGGCGAGACATCTGTCATTTTGACAATAGTACCAACTTTTTGAATTTTTAATATATTTCAAGCTAAATTCAAGCTATCTCAAACACTGACTTATTACATGGACCACGAGCCGTCCAGCATTATTAATAATGACCGGGCAATGTGATAAATAGGTGAGTTTAGATTGTAATTAATCACTTGGCCCGATATGGCTGGGCATTATTCATACTGCCCTGGCATTATGAATACTGCCCGCATTAATCACTTGGCCCATAACATATATATGTCATTATTATATATATGAGCTATATTACTGTTAAGTTTCATTAAAATCCATTCAGTATATTTTAGTTGAAAGTATAACAAAGATCCATACAAACGTAAGATTGAAATTAAAAGCGCAAGGGGTTAATATACAACTTTAAAGCGTTGTAGATCTTAAACAATCATATAAAATGAAAAATGGTGTTAGGAAACTAAACATGATTTTTGATTATCTAAGACTTACTTCGTCACAATATGGCGCCTAATTTTTCCCATCTTGAATTTTGATTACTATCATATCTTTAGTAGCACTCCCATGATTGAGACGAATCGATTGATGTATGAATCATCAAAATCGGTCCAGGCGTTTGGTCTCTAGTGTGCCACAAAGGAACAAACGTACATATAAAGACTGTTAAACACTATACCCTGTCTGCGCGTCGCGCTTCGCGCTCTTGAATTGCGCAGTCGGCTAAAAAGGCAAACAAATTACTTGGCTTTGTTATTAGTACTTCATCTGAGTTTGATGGATATGGGGCTGCATTAGTTCTTTGCAATACGTATGTTCGAAGTAAATAAGAATACTGTGTGATTGCCTTGGAAGAGGAGAAATATATGCTTAAATAAATAAAATAGAAAGAGTGCAGCGCAAATTTGCACGTTGGCTCTATAAGAGAAAATACGGTTATTACTCATATCTGTATCCGTCTTAATTTGGATGTGGCATGGTGGGGCTAGATACACTTAAACTCAGAAAGATTATGCAGTCTGAGCCTGTCAGATGCATCTGAAGATGGCATCTGCAGATACATCTGTCGTCGTATAGAGGGCGCATTACACATTATATTTATGACATTATTTTTAACAAATTGTATTTTTCAAATATATTATTGATTTCCTTAATTAAATTAACGTATTTCATCCTATCACTAGTACCTAATTGTAATTGATTTTGACATTCTGTTTATATAAATTTTTTTTTTCTTAGGTTTTCACGCACATCACTCATTAAATAAAACGTCAGAATGACGATGCAGACCTGAAAAGGCTGCGAAACGTAAATAAATAAATAAAGTTTCGTGCATTAACCCGTAAAAACTAGTTTTATTTAAATATATTTTTTACATTTGCTTTAAAATAAATGTTTCTAATTTCGGTTATCTCACAATAATGTATCATCCCAACCCAACATTAATTTATTGTATTTGATGTTGACATGCTTCATTCCCTGATTTAGAGATCTGACCACCCTAGGCTAACTATGAATATGCGCCCTCCGTATGTCCTGTCCCACCTTTTCATTCACTTATAGGTGTAACTAATTCAATTACAAGTACCAGATAGTCCAGTCAATGCACGGTTTTTCCATAGCAATTCAACACCGATAAGCACCAAAATCTGGCTTACCATCTACTACAAAGTTGGCAATGTGCCGAGAGTTGGTTTTACCCTGAGAGTGGACCCTTCTCGAGGGTAAAAAATATTTAAATAAAAATAAGAATGGAAATGGATAGTGACTTCTCTTTTTTTTATATTAAGGTAGGCAAATGACTCTACCCCACCTGATGTTAAGTGGAAATCAAGACCAAACGCGAAGATAGCTGGTACAGCAGTTATAAACTGCTACACCAATCATCCTCACCTTGCCGGCCTGCAAAAATGCTTCTTCACGCCTCTCTTAAAGGACCCCAGGTTATAGGAAGGAGGGAACACTTGCGCGGGTGAAGAATTCCACTTACGAATAGTACGACAAAGAAATGAGTCACCAAATTTCTTTGTTCGTGTAGGAATAGTGGCCACAGTAAGTCGGTGGCAACGTAGGCCAGCGCGCGTGGTCCTCTGAAGAAAAGGTGATGGAGGGATAAGGGAGAATAACTCCTCAGAACACTCGCCGTGGTATAGACGATAAAATGCGCTTATTGATGCCGCATCGCGGCGTAATTGTAGAGACTCGAGTTTCTTGGTTACCTCTTCATCGCCAATGATGCGGACAGCGCGCCGCTACAACCTATCCAAGGCATCGAGTAAGTACTTAGCTGAGCCATCCCAGAGGTGCGAGCGATATTCCACGCAGGACCGCACTTGCGTTTTGTACAACAAGCACAGTTGATCGGGCGTGAAAAAACGCCGCACCTTGTTCAGGACTCCGAGTTTGCGTGAAGCTGTTTTGATCACGGTTTCGATGTAGTCCTTTGGATTCAGGTCTGAGCGAACTTCCATACCGAGCATGGTAACGTTGCTCTGTAGCGCCAGTGTTGTGCCCTGAAGAGAGGGAAGGGGAAGGAATGGCGATGTTTTTGCCGTGAAAGCGTAGGCCTGAGTTTTCTTGGCATTGAACTCCACCAAGTTGCTAGTACCCCATTCGGAAATGGACTAATTCTGAGCAACTTTTGTACTATAAAGTTTTTATTGATAGCCAATACTTTTCGGCTTATTCGAAAGTGTAAACGTTAATTTTTCAAAAGAAACACATGTTTGAAACGGTTTTTCATGAATAACTGTGTAATTAAGTATTTTATGAAAAAAAAAACAATTGAAACAAAATTTTAGCTTATGAAAAACAAACAAATATTTGAATCATAGAATCTTTAATGATAGAAGGGATAATATTAATTAATTAATACTTAAATTGCTAAGTCTGTTATTTTCAAAGTTGAGAAAAAGTTAAAATAAGGATGGTATTATCGAATAAGTGGACGGGCAAATAAAAAAGAGCCTTGCAAGTAGAAATAAAATATAATACAAACAATAACAAGAACAACAAGCATGAAAAGCAAAAGCCACATAGAAAGAGACTAGTAATAAAAAGGATGACAAAAAGAATATAATTAAAATGAATATGATTAACCAGCCAGTCGCCAACATTTCCGGCCCCTGGTGCAAAGCAGAATCTAAAGTGTGGTGGCTGACTGGTTAGCCGACTGTAGTAAAAGTAATTTTCGCGTGGGGCGTTTAAGCTCTCCTCCTCTCTCCTCCTTTAATGGCTATCTCAGCCACTCTCACAATGTTGTCTCTGCCAGTGTGAACCTTAGTGGTCCTGCCAAGCGGTCAGAGTCCTCGAGGTAACGTTGCATCAGCAACGACAACTACTTCGCCTTCCTTGAAGTGGCATGTGCCTCTACCAGTTGGTCTCCTCAATAAAGTTGGGTAGTATTCATTAATCCACCTGCTCCAGAAGTGATCGGATAGGCGTAGAACATGTCGCCAATCAGCATGTCGCACCAGGTCCGCATCGGAGAGTTCACCCGCGAGCCAGTTTGCTAATGGAGTGGAGCCAATAAGGAAACTGAATGGGGTAATCGCTTGTGGCGCGTCGTCAGCCGAGGCCACGTATGTCTAAGGCCTTGAGTTGATAAGGCTCTCCGCTTCCAGCAGAAATGATACTGAAGAACTTTATTGTAGTGTTGACTACCCCTCAGAAGCTTATCGAGAAGGCTGACTAGATATATTTCGTGCCAAACACTCCAAGAAACATTAGAATGCCCCACACCCACATATCAAATGTAAAAAAATAGCAATGAAAACTGAAGTCTAGACTGTGGCATTGGTGTCAATTCTAACATGATTCTCTAATCCTAAACTTAAATTTGACGACAGTGTATCCTTTTCATTCTCTATACAGAATAAAAAGGAGAGACTGATGTTAAAAGTTCACGCCAGAATCGACACCAATGTTCCCTTTGCATTCTTTAAAAAGGGAGAACGTTTAAAAAATATAAAATGATAATTGTCATCTGTCAGTATCAAGCTGTCAGTTATCCGCAAAGTACTTCCAATGTCAAATCACGATTGACTCTGACGTATTTTATGAAAATATAGGTTTTAGGATTATGTTTGGCAATAATTAAATCTTTTTCTTAATATAAGATGGATCAAAGTCATCGGACTAGAAGGAATGATTTAGACATAGACAGTTTTAGGAGTGAAGAGCCAGGATTTGACCGGGCTCGTATGAGACGACAGTCTGGCGGCTTTGTAGATCTCGGAAATGAATCACAATATGGTACAGGAGGACACCAAGCATCGGGAGCTAATGAAATATTCGCAGATATCCAGGTCTGTACTATTGTTTTTGTGTCTTAAAAAGTTATATTTTTATTTACTTACCTTACTTAAATATGTAACACAGTCTGTCTACAAACTTGAAAGCTTTTAATAAAATGTTATCATTTTTTATAGCAAACTTATAGCTTGGTTCTGTCTTATAATAATTTTATCTTAGGTATTATTTAAAACATACTTGACACTAGTTTTCCATTTCTTTCAGGGTGATGTTCCATGGTGGAAATCAAATTTTTTCATTTCACAACCAGTACTATTTGGTACTTGGGATGGAGTGTTCACATCATGCCTTATAAATATTTTTGGAGTTATTGTGTTTTTACGGTCTGGTTGGATTGTAGGCCAAGCTGGTGTAGTTAATGGAGTATTTATTGTGCTATTTACAGGTCAGTATTTACATGCCTTTTAACAACTGTTTTTTTTACTGTTGTCCATAAAAGTGTTTTATATTTTTCTATATTTTTTTTATGTTACAAGGGTGGCAAACGAGTGTATGTGCCTGATCGTAAGTGGCCACCATAGCTTATAGACACTTGCAATACTAAAACTACAACTCTCACTGTTGCCTACACTGGCCCCATTCTAATTCTATAAGATTATCAAAGTTCTTTCTTAGATCTGTAGCCTTCTTTATAGGAGGTGTTATAATACCTGTCATACTGTAATATTTCAAAATTTATTTATTACATTAAATACAAGATTTTTTTAATTTTTACACTTGTTTTTTTTCAGTGTTTGTTGCCTTGATCTCAGTACTTTCAGCAATAGGCATTTGTGATAGATGCAGAATAGAAAGTGGTGGAGTTTATTTCCTGCTAGCTCATACCCTTGGTTCACGTATGGGTGGAGCTTTGGGCATCATATATTGCTTTGGACAGGTATTGTTAGAAAATCGAAAAAAAAAAACATATTTTGAATGCTACCTATTAGCTTTTCTTGATTGGCATGTTTTAAAAATAATAATTAGAAAAGCTAACAATTTTTTAGTACCTACTAGGTATTTTTTTTTAACCATCTAATAACAATTAATGAATAATGAGCACAATATATGCTTAATACAATGATACTGATAACTGTATTTTATCTTTGTAGATTATTAATTGTTCTGATAAAGATATTTTTAATTTCCTTGGAATGTTTTTGTCGAAATGGAATTATGTTAATATTCTCTCCTATTTTAGTGAAATAAATACCCCTTAGTTTTAGGATTAAGGATTTCTGATAAAACACTTTAAATGGATATGAAGACTATTTCAAATATTTGGCTGTGGTTCAAAGCATGTTAAGGTTTTAAAATATGAACAATGATGTAAATTTTGTACTAAATACTCTTCAATCTGTTTAACAGTGTAAATGTAAATGTGAAAAATGATTAATAATGATATTATGGTCTAACTTATAACATTACAGGCTGTCGGATGTGCACTGAATGTTGTGGGGTTTGGAGAATCCATGGCTAACTTAGTCGGATTTGATAATGCCTGGGCAGCCAAAGGATTTGCAATCGCGGCTGTTTTGTTATTAGGCACTATCAATGTGGCAGGAGTGAAATGGGTTGTAAAATTGCAATTTGCTCTTCTGTTGGTTATTTTGTTAGCAGCCCTCGACTTCTTTGTAGGATCATTTACTACCACTCCTAGTAAGTTGTCTACATTATGTCCTTATCATTATTACAAATCTTGACTCAGCGTGTGACAACACCTTCAATGGACTTTAGAATTCAAAATAATTTTGATCCTAAAATAATATTTTGATAACATTTCTTATTTTGTTGTAGCTAAAGAATTTCAAGGATGGTTCAATAGTACAATTTCAAATAATACATGGTCTAATTATGAAGAGGGATACTCTTGGTTCAAATGCTTTGGAGTTTTCTTTCCCACAATTACGGGTATATTGGCAGGAATTAATATGAGTGGGGACTTAAAAAACCCTTCTGTAAATATACCTAATGGCTCCCTAGCTGCTATTGGTACTGGGTAAGTAATATCAATATGTAGTGCTAATTTATAATTGATTATAGGGTTTACGTTCCTAGGTGGCACAATAATAAAAACAATATGTTTAATTAATCAATTCAAATGAAGTTTTTCACAATATTGATTAATTATTTATGTCAGGCTTTAAAAAACTGTTACTTTGAGCGGAAGCACTAATTTTATTTTGCAGCTGAACTAATTTTTCTTTTTTGTTGACTATAAAAATTAGGAACACAGCGGAAGAGATGCTTTACTCAATCACAATTTTTGTAATAAATGAAAAGAAAAGACAATAAACCACACAAAGTAGGTCTTACCAACATAATCCAAGATTTTTAGATGTCCGCTCTGCATAAAATCCTTCTACGTTATTTTTCGATTGGATTATGTCGGAGGGTGCCCCCCAAGTATAAAACCGAGTTTCTGTCGCCCGAAACTGCGAGCGTTAGCCGCCATCTTGGAAACCGTTTTTTTGCATATATCTCGGAAACGGTAAGTTTTACGTTAAAAACCGAAGAGATCTTTTTTGTAGAGAACAAAATTTCCCATCTTTTTTATACCAAACTTTTCCCCCTATTGTTGATATTTTCCGATATATTGAAGTAAATAAACCAAATTTTTTGTTTTTGTAAAGTATCTCAATAATTTTTGGAGATACGAAAAAAATGTTTGAATTAAAGTTGGAGAGCATGAAATTTTCTACAAATTTTGTATAAAACTTTTTCTTGCAAAATGATTAGTTGCTGAGTTCTAGCGCAATAAAAGATCATGAAAATCAGCGGTAAGTGGCAATACGTTACTCTCGCATGCAAACAAAAAGTATAAGTAAATTCGATGTCTCCGCGTAAAGTATTGTTTTACAGAAGGTAAGTAATTTAAGTCGGAACGCCGTTAAAATGAGTACGTGTTTTATATGTGAGAAATTGATAAGTGATAAAGACGTACAAGTGGTGAAAGAAAGAAAAATACAATTTATTAAATTAATATTATGCGATCCTGATTTGTAAACAGCGACTTATATCGCGCAAATGATAATGAATTTGGATACATGAATAAATTTTCATTCCTTTTTCCAATAATTCGTTAAAATATTTTTATTGTGCAAAATTTCCTTTTTAATCTTTCATTTCCCTCCTTTTCACGATAAATAAAATCGTTACCGTCTTCATGATAAAATTTTTCGATTATACTTTTTTGTTTGCATGCCAGAGTAACGTATTACCGCTCATCGCTGATTTTCGATTCCTGGTGACAATTTTTATTCAGCTGGAACTCAGCAACTAATCATTTTGCAAGAAAAAGTTTTATACAAAATTTGTAGAAAATTTCATGCTCTCCAACTTTAATTCAAGCATTTTTTTCGTATCTCCAAAAATTATTGAGATACTTTACAAAAACAAAAAATTTGGTTTTTTTACTTCAATATATCGGAAAATATCAACAATAGGGGGAAAAGTTTGGTATAAAAAAGATGGGAAATTTTGTTCTCTACAAAAAAGATCTCTTCGGTTTTTAACGTAAAACTTACCGTTTCCGAGATATATGCAAAAAAACGGTTTCCAAGATGGCGGCTAACGCTCGCGGTTTCGGGCGACAGAAACTCGGTTTTATACTTAGGGGGCACCCTCTGATATAATCCAATCAAAAAATCACGTAGAAGGATTTTATGCAGAGCGGACCGATTTTTGGTGCTAAAATTCCTGGACTAACATGACATGGCAGAGCGTCTAATATACATTTTATTTATTTATTTACTCTTTATTGTTTTTTAACAAATGGCGGACTTAATGCCACATGGCATTCTCTACCAGTCAACCATTAGGCTAAGCAGAGACATTATGCGGTAAAGTAAATTAAAGCACTATAGTAAAAGAGAAAGAAATGTGTTGTTTTATGTGGTAGCATTTAATAATAAACCTACTTTAGGAATAGAGTAGGAAGATTGATTTTACATAAACATTATTTAGTTTGCTTACCTTCTCGAAAACACCGACTGCGGCGAAGGCGAATCATATCAAAGAAATAGGCGAACCTTCTCATACACAGACAAACGTATTTGACAACATACTTTAGGCTTAGTATAATAAGATCGATTTTACCTTTATAATTATTTCATCTGCCGACGCGTTAACAAAGGGTACCATATCCTTTTTATTTCGATTAGATCCGCGAATAAAGATTTTATTTTATGCCGCGAATATAGTAATTCGGTTGCAATGTATTTTATCCGCGAATAGTGAAAACGCGAATAAAAAAGGTAAATTTAGAAAATCAAAAAACCCGAGAGCTTAATTATACTTCAAATAAAAACTGAAAAGAGAAAAACAAGTCCAGTAGTCTATAATTCTGTTAATAAAGAACAAAGCTACTATAACAGTCGGGACCCATTAGATATTCAAGAATACATAATATTTTTCAATAATGGGTCCCGACTGTTAAAGTAGCTTTGTTCCTTATTAACAGAACTATAGACTACTGGACTTGTTTTTCTCTTTTCAGTTTTTATTTGAAGTATAATTAAGCAGTCGGGTTTTTTGATTTTCTAAATTTACCTTTTTTATTTCACACTTTTTAGTTAGATAGTATTTTAAGACGGTATATACCGTAGTCTTGTTACTTCAGTAAGGGAATTAATATCGCGGGAATTATTAAGTACCTTGCGGTGGTCTAAAAGATTGATTTATTACGACATTATAGAGACTTCACCAGCGAGGTCAAGGCTACAGATGGGCCTCAATTTTCGCAAAAATGTGTGAAGTTAAATCAAGTCCTTACATAAATATCTAATGTATGTAAATTTTATAGTAAACTAGCACTTATTCAAAAAGTCATCTTTTGTTTATGTTCTTTTTAGTAGTTTAGTTTAGTTTAAATATAAAATTCATTTACTTTTATTCGTCGACTATTTAAAATTGGCAGTGGCTGCATTGTCATGTCAACGTCCGGTTCTACTATTGTGATATACACAAATGCAGTGTCATATCCTAGTCTCATAATTTGATATAATGTAGATGCCAGAAGTTAACTTCAAATGTTGTTAATTACCCTATATACAATACCAATCAATGACGTTTATGTCGCAGGTTGAAGAAAGCAATAATTCCCGTCTGTTGTTTTGGACAATGGTGGCAACTGCCTTAGATCTCTAAATTAAATAATTATGCAATCACCAAAGCAAAGTTTATAATATTTGATTAAACTAAAGGCGCATAATAAAATTTTCATAACGTTAGGTAGAGCACCATAGCAATCTCATTTATTATCAATTTATAGTTCTCTTTGTAGTTTTCTTTTAAAACGTTCACATATAACAGGTCAAAGACTTTGTGATTCGATCGTGTAAATCTCGAATGAAGAGTACTTCCACCTATTAAGTGTGCTGTTACCAGCCTAGTAGGTATTGCAAATAGTGCAATCATGGCAATGATTTTCCAATATTTTTTTGTATAAAAAAATACCGTATAAAGTATCACTGTTAAGCACAAATGCTAAGTAACTTTTACAAATATAATCAAATAAACCTATTACTTACTTTATTTTTAAATCTTTTTTATTAATTAAACACTATCTATACTAATATTATAAAGAAGCAAGATTTGTATGTTTGTAACAAAAAATCTGTCAAACTACTGAACCGGTTTCAAATATTAATTCATCATAAGGTAGCTACATTATTTATTATTATATTTTTCTTTATTTAAATACATTTTGTCCGAGTGACATATTATTTTATCCCGATAAAATAAATTTCGCCCGTACAATGCCCGGGTGGATCACTAGTAAGTATAATATAATATTATAGATGCGAAAGTGAGTTTGTTTGTTGCGCTTCCGTGCCCTAATAACTAAATCGATTATAATGAATTCCCCAATAGAAGTAGATAGAGGGAACTTGGTTCTTAGCTACAACATCGCAATACTTATAGGCGTGGGCTGATGAAAGGGGTGATTTACCTATAAAAATCTATATTATTTACTTTGAATTTTGCAGAATTATCGTTTATAGGTAATTATAAATCCAATATTATCGCGAGCTGATTAATAAATACAGGGATTCCAATAAGTATGTACCTACTAGCGAAAAATGGGTTATTTGTCATTATAAAGTAAACCTTTTTTGTAACATTAAGTAATATCGTTAAAAAAAATTAAAAACAGTATAATTCTGAGTTTTTCATTAAAATTCAATAATCATAAATACCTATTATGATAATTTATTTTTCATCATTTAATAAGAAGGAACTGTATCACAGTTTTATTGTAAGTACTTCGTATAGGATCAGATTTTCGCCTAGGTTTTATCCACGTTTATAAACCTCTTACACCCGTATTCACAAACAATACTTGTTTAAGTAAAGTAGCAACACTGTGCGAAGTAAGACATTTCTCAGTGCGTTTTACTTGGCAAGCCTTTCAATTCATAAACAATACTCAAATGACTCTTCGCTATGAGAACGCACAGCGTTGAACAGAGCTCTGTGATTGGTTCATTTATGTTACGTAGTTCACACCGCTCTGAATGACATGTCTATCATTTGTCAATGAGGGCTATCGCGTATGAATCCGCCGCTAGAGGCGCTACTGTAGCGTGAGGTCTCCGAAATGTCAAATGTTATTGCTTGTTGGTTGTCTACGCGGGTTTTTTTCTTATTAAAATAATGTTGTGAATAATTGGTAACAATTCGGCTTAATTATGGCAAATATGAGTTATGTGGCAATGAATGTCAGTTATTAAAAATTTGAGCTTAGAAAAATGATTATGTTCCCATTTTTTCCGAATAAAACGGAACTGGGCGTCACTGTGGCATGGCCTATTATGTTTAGGATATGGTTCTTTTGTGTTAAAATACTAAATGTAACCTTTGATTTCATGTGCGTGCATTAATAAACTTTAAAAGTTACAATTTAGGACCTCACTCAACAGTGGCGCCATCTGGTGAGACAGAAAACGGTAGCTCTCATTGTCATAATTCATAACCTTTTTAAAACCAAACAGTGCT